GGCACAGTTCAGACACCTTTGGGCAAAAAGCATGAAGGGGTTCTGAGACTCTGCCATCCAATCTCATCTCCACTTAGCTCACTGGTCCCTGACTGTTAGTTTCTCCTTTGGTCTCCAGGAGTCCAGAAAAGCCTTCTCTGACAATGCTCACCAGACCAACAAACTGAAAGCCCAGCCAGATCAGCCTAACGTAAAGCTCATGGCCAACATACCCACCCATGGTGTCTTCAGCTCCTTAATCACCACACTCAAACTCCAGCTGACACCTGAGGGCATTTGGAATAGCAGGAAAGCCTCCAACATACCTCCTCCTTTCACTGCACAGTGAAATGCCATTTTTGCAAGCTGGGTCTGTGCAGGAGACGGGACGAGGGGGAACACAGGAACATCTACCCAAAAAAGTCATTATTTTGTCCAGAGAGATAAGACCCTGGGGTCATAAGATTTAAAAACAAAATCACACTGACACATAAAAACACACACACACACAAATAAATACACATGTTTACCTACTCAGAGAACAAAAAGGAGCTTCTGATTTAAAATAGTAAGATGATAAAATGGCACCCTCCTTTAACCCATCACTCAGGCAGAGGCAGACAGATCTCTGTAAGTTAAAGGCCAGCCTGGTCTACATAGCTAGTAACAGGCCAGTCAGAGCTACCCTGTCTCAAAAACAGAAGCAGGTGTGGTGGCAGATGCCTTTAATCCCAGCACTCAGAGGCCAGTGGAGAGATCCAGGCTAGCTGTGGTTACAATATGATAGCACATGACTATAATCCCAGCACTAGTGAGGCCTGAGGAAGAGAATCATGAGTTTGATGCCAGCTTATGCTACATAATGAACTCTAGCCTCACCTGAACTACATATCAAGACCCCGTCTCAATACTACCCCTAATAATAATAGTAATAATATGATATAGAGACATGAAAAGCCCACTGAAAGACTTAGATAATAATATCGAGAACATTTCTCTAAAAGTAGGACCAGGAAATAAAAAGATGGAAATTATTAAATGAAGCCAGACATGGTGGCACACACCTTTAATCCTAGCACTCGGGAGGCAGAGGCAGGTGGATCTCTGTGAGTTCAAGGCCAGCCTGGTCTACATAGTGAGTTCCAGGACAGCTGGAGCTACAGGGAGACCCTGTCTCAAAAAGACCAAAAAAAAAAAAAAGGCAGAGGGTTGATCTAAAATATCTAACATCTAAACAATGAGTTTCTGAAAGAAACATTATAGAAAATTGAAGGAGAAATTATCAAAGAAATAAAGAAAATTTCCCAAACTGAAGGATGTAAATTTCCAGATTCAAAAGCACATCAAACTGGATTGAAAACAGAGTCATACCAGGACACAATATCAGGAAACCTGAGGATTGTGGAAAACAAGGGAATATTCACAGCTTTGCAAAGAGCACAGCAGGTCAGTAGCCTGTACACAGACTGCAAGCAAGAGCTGAGGATTCAGAGCAGCTCAGTCTAGAAGGCAGTGGAGCAATGCCTTAGAAATTTCCATCCTAGAATTCCACACTCAACCAATCTACGAATTGCAAGAGGAAAACAGGTACCTTCAGGCATTCTTGGTGTCAGAAAGATAGACATCCCATGCACCCTTATCCAGAATGCCCTTAAGGATATTCGTAACTAAAACAAGGGAAGGGAAGGTCCACGGGTGCCAGGAGACCAAACACCAAAAAGAGATGATGGGGATCCTCAACATCTGAGGTGGGGATGGCTGGGATAACAGCTGCACTCCATAGATAGAAGGCAACCTCTCCAAAGTTCTGCAAGCCAGGAGGCTTTGGCACCCTGGGAAAATGATACTGATAGAGACCTGAAACTTATGAAGGAAGGTTTTGAAGGCTGGCCAACAGTTGTAGATTCAATTAATTAGGAGTATAAAAAGACTAAATCAATTAATTATTAACTCCAAGGAAAACAAAAAGTTGTGCTAGGCTTAGCTATGAATATTGATCTAGTCATTAATATTCTATATATTGAAAGATAAGAAAATAGGAAAACTGTGCTCTCTCTGGGGGTTGGATGGAAAAAGAAAGCCAACTCACCTTCTTCCACAGAGTGAAATCAACAGATAATTACAACTGAAAAACTCAGCATGTATCAACTACAAGCAACAAACAAAAAAACCCACACTACATTCTTTCGTGTGTGTGTGTGTGTGTGTGTGTGTGTGTGTGTGTGTGTGCGCGCGCATGTATAGAGGTCAGAGATAGGCACTGGATGTCTTCCTCAATCGTTCTCCATTTTATTTTTTGAGTGAGTCTCTCAAAGAACTCAGAGCTCTCTGATTCACCTATCTCCAGGTATCTTCCTGTCTGCACCTCTCCAACACTGGGATTACAGGTGTGTACCACACACGGCAAGTAGCTTTTTTTAATGTGGATACTAGAGATCAATCTTAGCCCTCCTGCCTGCATAGACAGCAAGTATTTTACCAACTGAGCCATCTCCCAGCCCAAATTCTATGCCTACATATATTTACATTCATTTGTTCTTTCTCTGTTTCCCCAATAAAAGCTTGTTTTTAAAAAAAATCCCTTCCTCAGGGCTGGAGAGATGACTCACCAGTTAAGAGCATTGGCTGCTCTTGCAGAAGACCCAGGTTCGATTCCCAGCAGCCACATGGCAGCTAACAACCATCCTTAACTCCAGTTCCAGGGGATCCAAAGCCCTCTTCTGACCTCTGCAGGCATTTCCAGACATGGGGACACTTACATACCTACAAGCAATACATTCATACACATTAAAAAAAAAAAAAATTAAGATGTTTTAAAAAATTCCTTCCTCCTTTCCTCTAAACAAAAGAAAGTATAATTTTCTACACCTATACCACCGTAACTGTGGTCATCTGAGCTCTGAGTAGTCAAATGTGAAGAGGAAATGAATAGTTATAATCCAATCCAAGGAAGGACTGGTTGAGCCAAGCAGAGATAAAAAGACAAGCCCTGGTGAAGGCAAGTGTAGAGGTACAGAAAACTGCTACACCTCTCTCCTCTAGTTCGCTTGTGGCTGTTGCTTTCAACAAATCTCTTCTAACAGCATAATCACATGGAACAGGAGAATTTTACCACTGCCAGTCATCACAAGCCAATGTCATTCCTTTTTAACAGACTTGGATGCCTGACTTAGGGCTCTAATCCAAACAACTGCCTCCCAAAACTATTGATGTGTGTTCAATTTCAGGACTCCACTTTACCTGGACAAGATAGTAAGGGCTCCAAACAAGACACGGTGTCATCAAAAGACAATTATTGAGCATCCATGGGGGAGCCAGCACCAACCTGAGGATCAATACCCCTACTGACTCTGCAGACAACAGGTGATCTTCCTGGAGTGAGGGGAGTTGAGGGGACCCAGGGACAGGTAGAAGCTAAACTCTGGACAAGCAGGGGACAGGGAGGGAAGGCACTAACCCGGGCAGCCTGGAGAACCTGTAGCTGAAGTGTGTTTAGAGTCCAAGAACCAAGCTCCCAGCACTCTGGGTGCCTGGAGGAAGGCAAGAGGGTCAGTCATTCTTCTCCAAGCACAAAAAAAATGGGCCCATAATTGCTCATAACTCCTCCAACCTCCCCTTTAAGGATCAACGGTAGGAAGAAAGGTGAGCTTTACTAGTTTGATAAAACATAGACCCTGCTCCCCTAGCTACTTTGAAAGCAGTTGGCAATACTAGCGCTTGCATTAACACTCTATATATTCTTTCCTGTTTGGGAAGAGAGGAAAATTCCAGGCCAAAATCCATGTAGGGCAAAGGTGTTGTCAATTAGAGTAGGATGCAGGTTTGCATCTGTTTATGACACTTGCCTTTCACAGTTCCACAAATCAGAATAGGAAGAATGAAGATCATTAACATAAATACACTACAGTAAACCCTCTGCGTTGGCAGTAGGATTAATGATCAGATTAATAAGAGTATGAGAAAGGATACACCTTTCTTAAACACTGAAATGTAGCTGAACAAAAAATGGTTTCAAATATTCTATATGGAAAATAAGCCACATTTTTCTTTTCCCCATGGAAACTGTGCTATTCCACACCACATTTGAATCTTACAGACCAAAGAGCTACCAGTATCATAAACTTATCTATTAAATCCTCAAAATTTACTTAGGAAACCTGCTGACAAGTTGGTGCTTCCCTCCACCCCTCCCCAGCTCTATAGGAGAGAATTATCTAGAAGGGAATAAAGTGTCAGAATTTCCTAAGAGAAAAACGGGTACTCACTGGAAAAATACAAGGCATACGCTCAAAATATATAACTATTCTGGATAGCCTTCAAACCCACTAAACCACCAACCACCCTGCTGTTCCAACACTGAAAGCAACTCTTCTAACCAAATATTCCAGTTTCAAAAGAATGGCACGAGATGAAATTGATACAAGCAATATGTTATTCACTCATGAAAGAAAAAAGTCAAAAGGAAATGTAGGATCGAGGGGAAGAGTGCACAGTCCCAGGAAATGGTCCCACACAGTTTTTCCTACATATATTCTGCAAGCTCCAGTTTATCAAAACCCAACCACCACTTCTCAGACAGGAAAAAATTAAGTGCCCCTAATGGGGTGAGGCGCCCGGCACAGGGAACTTGTGGGCCATCTTGGTGGATTAGGCTTTCAAAATCAGGACAAGTGAAAACTCTCTGCCAAGGGAACCCAGCTCGCTGCTAGCTTCAGCCCAGAAACTCCAGTCCAAAGGGGCTCAGATCCAGAGCCCGCAGATACAGAGGCTGCAGCCGCCGGGCAGCCGCAGCCACGCAGAGGGACGCACCTGTCCCTTCTTCCTGAACCGAAGGGTCCCTCATCTGGCAGAGAGAACCCGAGCTCACCACCGCGCGAAAGGTAGCAAATCCGACCCGCTCCCACCACATCAGTCTCCATCAGGGGAAGTCATCTCCGAGTGCAGTGCACGCACCCCGTCCCGAGCCTCCCCGCCAGGAGTCCCCGAGTCCCGGGAGGCCCAGTTCGCTCGCGCTGTCTTACCTAGGGAAAGCCAGAGCCGCACGGGGCCGGGGACAGTGTAAGGTCTGGCGGAGCTGCGGAGTCTCGAGCCAGGCAGGCGCCGACCACGCCCCTCACCACGCCCCCTTTGTCGTCACGCCCCCACAGCCGCTCCCCCTCGTCGCCACGCCCCTTTGGTCGCCACGACCCCGCAGCGGCGCCACCGTCGCCACGCCCCTATCACTCCACTGCACCACCACCACCACCCCCCACTGACCGACCGGTCCAGTCGCTCTGCCTTCGCTCTCTGGAGCTCACAGTCTTAGGTTCCCACCTCCCTTGGCCATTTCTAAGCAAAAGGTGGGGGTAAATAGGAATCGCGTCCTGGCCTCAGGAGCTTCAGGGAGTGTGCTTTGTCCGCGGAGACGCGGCGTGGGGTCTCCCTGGGTCCGGGTTTCCCTTTCCTGTACACCCTCAGGGGGAAGACTCGAACATCTCAGACCGGGAGAACCCGGAGCCGAGGCACCTGTAGGTCGCTAGGAACTAGGAACTAGGTCGGAAGTAGGAACTGACCTCGCCTTCCGCTAAGCAGTGGCGGGCCAACCTGCTGACTGCCCTGGTGTGATGCAAAGTAGTTGAGCGAAAAGAGTAAGTCATTTGACTGGAAAACCAGAGGCTGCAGAGCGTATCTATTACTTCCAGCGTCATGTACATTATTAACACTTAACTTGAGGAAGAGGAGAGAACAACTTTCAAGTAATTTACTTGTATTAACACCCAAAAGGAAAGTATAACCAAAGATTAAAGGGGCCAATATAATTTCTTAAGAGTCCATATGTATAGCTAAAGGCTACATAACAAGAAACAATGCCAATGGGAGGTACCCTCTTTTGAGTTGTTGGCCAGGGTGGCCCAAGGGACTCCCAGCATAGACCTGGAAAAATGAACAGCAGACCCCAATCTTACCTAAAGGAATATTGACAACTCATTTCTGCTAGATGAGGAACAGCTGACCCTCCTAAAACAAAGACCTCTAGATAAGGTGACTACATTCACAAGATGGACAAGTAGTGGGGAAAGGCTGGGGGTGCTGACCACACGCAGACAGTAGCAGGGATGACAGAGTATAAGGGCTCTAGTTGGGGGAGGGAGGCTATGGGAGGGTGCCATCTGGGAAGTGGGTATATAGTTGAATAAGATGGTTTGGGATGTTCTGTACACACAAAAAATCAAATTTTTAAAAATGAGGAGGAAGCTTAAAAATGTACATCATGTTAATTAGTAGAGGTGATAAACATTACCATTGAAATCTACTTGATGACTTTATAGACATACACAGGTGCCAAGGATCTGAGTGCAACCAATTATGACTAGTAATAATCAGATACATACAGATTAGAGATGCATGCACCAACATCTCAGTGTTATTAGCAAAAACAATGAGTCTTTCTGTAAGAAACATATATTTTAAAATGAAATGGAGATCTTTTTTAAAGGTTAAAAACTCATTCAATTTTATCTTTTACAGGGCTTATACTAGGTTCAATATTGTATGACTGTATTAATTCAACAGCGAACCTAAAAATTTTATAGCCACTTTTGAAAGAGACATGTCTTTGCTCTGGAAACTGTTACTGAGTATAAAGCTGTAATGAAATGCTTCTTAAAAAATAAAAAAAATTTCTATGAGGGGCTGGAGAGATGGCTCAGTAGTCAAGAGCACTGGCTGCTCTTGCAGAGGACCAGGGTTGAATTCCCAGCACCTAAATGACGGTTAACAACCATCTGTAACTCCAGTTCCAGGGGATCTGATGCCCTCTTCTCACCTCCGCGGTCATTGCACAACAAGGGTGCCACCCACTTACATGCAGGCATTATAGTCATACACATAAAATAAAAATAATAATATATATTTTAGAAATTCTATGAATGCCGGGTGTGGTGGCTCACCCCTTTAATTCCAGCACTCTGGGATTCTATAAAATCAAAGCCAGCCTGGTCTACATAGTGAGTTCAGGCCAACTGGGGCTGCAGGGAGACCCCCATCTCAAACAAACAAACAAAATTCTATGACATATGCATAATTACACACCACGTTTTAGACACCCCATTTTAGATGTGGGGAAAGAGAGGGAGAGAAGTAACATTGGGTAATGATGACACTTAGCTAGCTAATCGAGAAACTGGCCTTGGAAGGCTGGGGCTGAAGCTCAGAGATACAGTGTTTGCCTACCATGCACAAGGCCCTGGGTTCAATTCCTTACTTTGGGTCCGAGCTGGCTTTGTCAGGAGTTTTGACTCTTTTTTTTTAATTCTATTATTTTTATTTTATGTGTTATGTGTATGTTGCCTGCATATATATAAATGCACCCATTCGTGCAATGCCTGCGGAGGACAGAAGAGGGTGTTGGATCCCCTGGAACTGGAGTTACAGAGTTGTTAGCTGCCATGTGAGTGCTGGGATTCAAACCCGAGTATTTTGCAAGAATAGCCAGTGGATCCAATACCCTCTTCTGGCCTCTTCAAGCATTGCACACATGGGGTGCACTTATATACACGCAGGCAAAACACTCTTACGCATCAAATAATTTTATATTTTATTTATTATTTTTATTTTATGTGTTGGAGTGTATTGCTTGCACATATATAAGGGCACCCATGTCATGCCCATGGAGGTCAGAAAAGGGTGTTGGATCCCCTGGAACTGGAGTAATGGACGGTTGTTAGCCACCATGTGGGTGGTAGGAACCAAACCTGGGTCCTCTGGAAGAGCAGCCAGTACTCTTAACACTGAGCTATCTCTTCAGGCCCGAATTAATTTTTTTTTTATTTTTTTTAAAAGGGTGGGGCTGGAGACATGGCTCAGCAGTTTAGAGCACTGGCTGCTCTTCCAGAGGATCCAGGTTCAATTCCCAGCACCCACATAGCAGCTAACACCCTTCTGTAACTCCAGTTCCAGGGACTATCCCCTTTTAGCTTCCACGGGCTTTGCACGACACTGATGCAACCTACCTACATGCAGGCATTATAGTCATACACAAAAAATAAAAACATAAATAAATAAATAAATAAATGTAAATTTTTTTAAGTAGAAGGTATGGGGGAAAGAAGTGAAAATGTTGAACTAAAAATGTCATAGTCCAAATTGAAACTGTGATCGTGCTTCAGTGGATGGATGGATGGGCTAGAGGAAAGAGTCAGTAAACTGCTCATTTCAAAAGCAATAAAAAGTACCTAATCTGAACAACAGATACCCAAAAACTCCATTAAGAGTCTACCAGACTATGACAAACAATTTACCATGTGAGACATCAGATTCTCAGAAGAGGAAGAGGACAGAGCTGAAAAAATATTCAAAGAAATAATGACTGAAATTTTTACATTTGCCTAATGATGTAAACCTACAGACTAGGAAGTTGAGTTAACCTCATACTAAGTAGATACAAAGAAAGTCACACTAAGACTTTCTTTAACTGTAACATTAAAGAGAAAAAAATCTTGAAAGCAGCAAGAGATCCATGACACATTACCTTAGTGGAGAAAACAAATAGCAGCTGGGTTTTTGTTTTGTTTCGTTTTGTTTTTTTATCACAACCCTGGCAGAAGAATTTCTTGAGTGCTGAAATAAAATAACTGTCAGCCTATCCAGAATTCTATAACTAACCAATATGTCCTTTGAAAATGAAGGACAACTCAAGGTATTCTCAGATAAAAGAGAATTATTATCATCAGATGACCCACCCCAATGCAGTGCTGCAATACCACATTACAGTGACGTCTAAATAAAAACAGCCTGACTCTCAGCATCCATTAAAACCAATGGCACACACCTTTAATCTCAGCACTGGGGAGGCAGACACAGGTAGATCTCTGTGAGATGGAGGCCAGCCTGGTCTACATAGTGAATTACAGGCCAGCTGGGGCTTCAGGAAGACCCTATCTCAAAAAGACAAAAAAATAAAAATAGCCAGGTGTGGTGGCGCACACCTTTAATCCCAGCACTCAGGAGGCAGCGGCAGGCAGATCTCTGTGAGTTCAAGGCCAGCCTGGTCTACATAAGTAAGTTCCAGGACAGCTGGGGCTACAGGGAGACCCTGTCTCAAAAAGACCAAAAATAAATAAATAAAAATAAATAAAAAACATAACCAAAGAGTGGGACCCAGTATGTTCTGAGAACTTGTTCCTTCAGAGTTTTCTGAGAATCATGTACTCCAACAACAATTGTGTTCTCTCTTTATTAATACTGAATATCCTGCTTGAAATAGGGAAAGAAAAATAGAATTTGTCTTATCAGGGAATTTTTCCCTTTTGACCCCTACTAACCTAGCACACACAATCATAAACAGATGTTGTCAATCTAATCCCACCTGTTGTTTGCAACCAAATGGGATAATCTGTTGCTTTCAAGGAATATCTCCTGCTTGAGGTGCTCAATAATCATAGCATATACACACATACACTGTTCTGGGTCAAGGGCAAGGAAGGATCATGAGGGATTAAAGCTATATGTTTAGGTTACATTCCAGGAGTCGTTTCTCTACCCTAAAAGAATGGCAAAAGGAAGGTGTATTACTTAGGGTTCTCCAAAGAAACAGAACCGGTAGAATGAATATATATGTATAGAGATTTATCAGCTTAGCTCACAGGATAGAGTCTGAGTAGTCCAACAATGGCTGCACCACACTGGAGAGGCTGAGAATCCGTACTAGCTCAGTCCACGAGGCTGGATGTCTCAGTAGTCCCAATCTGGCACTGAAGGTCTGACAAATTCCAAAAGATCAGCTAGTCTTCAGTCTATAGCAGCAAGACGAACTCACCAGCGAGAGAGAAGGCAAGCAGCAAGAAGCCAGGCGTTCTCCTCCACCTTGGCCTTTTATACGGGCTGGGCTGCCATCAGAAGGTAACACCCACATTTAGGGTGTGTCTTCCAGCTTCAGATGATCCAATCAAGAAGATCTCTCTCATTTCAGTTAATCCCAGATCCAGTCAAGATGACACCCAGGATTAGCCATCACAGAAGGTCTCTAAATAGAAAAGAATCAATAAAGGAAGCAATCTTGGAATGTCAGGAAAGAACAGTAAGTAAAAAATCTAATAAACCTTCCTTTTCCTCTTCCTCTTTCTAATCAAAAAGGGCTGAATGAGGC